AGTCGAAAGCCAAAGCAGGGCAAGCACCAGCATTTCGGGAGGGTGGGCTTTCCCCACCAGGAATCTGTAGCTGAGCTACACAGGTTGCATGGTGGGAAAGTGAGGCTTTGCCTTCAAGAGGGGTCATGGGAAAGAGAATGGTTGGCATCTGATCACGGAGGGTAGCTAGTTTTGCCAAGTCAGTTACTTGCCTGAAATCAGAGGAAATTAATCCCCTCCAAATTTCTCTGTGCTGATTTCTCAACTGGAATTTGAAAGCAAAGACCAGCTTCAGCTTTCAGCTTTATTAATGTCTTTTCATCTAACTCCAGCTAGCTGATCCTGCAGGGAACCTTTTGCCTCTCCTGTTTCACTTCTGAGGTAGCAGCTTTAATTTATGGTGAGATTAAATTAGGACGTGTTTTCTTACGCACGCAGGCAAGAGTATCGTTAGGAGGTTTTAGAGGCAGCGAATACATGACGTCGGCCAAACCAAAGGTCAGAGTTCAGCCACTTTCTAAGAGCAGGTTACAGGCATACTTACAAAACCAGCACTGGGCTCCTCAGCTCCAGCATGTGTGATGTGTGTGTGGGCAGGGCTGAGGGGGCTGCTGAAACAACAAAAAAAAATCATCACAGCCTCATTACCCGGCACATATGCTCCCCTCCTGTGCCTGTGTAGGGGGAGCAAATCAGTGCAAGATCTCCATGGCTACAGTGGCACCACACACTCAGGGCACACACACTCCTGTCCCCCCCATTGCACCCCAAACTGCTGCTGCTTGGAGAGGTCACCCATTGTGGCTGTTAAAATACAGCCAGTGACACTGGAGGGGGACAAAACAAAAGGTCATTTTATTATTCACAAATACATTTGTTGTCAGGAGGTTTTTTTCTGCAGAGTCCCTTAAAGAGTTGAGTACTCCTTTTTTGGGCCTCTCTCTCCAGGATTAAGGAAATTTTAAAACGCTGGGAATCACCCATGAACCAAAACCTTGCAGCCTTCTCACTTCCCTCCCACTCTGTAGGTGGCCCAAAAGATCCTGTCTTGGCATATTTCCCCCTATCCCATGGCACTGTGAAGGGCTGATTTAAGCAGGAAGCAAAGATGGACACCTTGTCCTTGGCTGATGACTTCAACCCACTCACCTCGACCTGGCGCCCAGGGCTGCCAGCCTGCAGCCACTTGGCATTTGCGGCCTGATGGCAGAAAGCCCCTGGGGCTGGTGTTTGGTGAAGCAGCCGTGGTGGTGCTGGTGATGTGCGGGTGTCTGTGTGGCCTGTTAACCCGCTCTCCGTGGGGCTCTCGTTTTGGTTTGGCAGGTTTGACACCTGGCTTTCTTCTCGTTTAAAGCTGCCCCCCAGCTACCTGCTCAGCTACTCAGGCAACTACACCGACGATGCCAAGAGCTGGCGGCTGGTGGACATCACCCGGCTGACCTCCAAGTACCAGCACGACCGGGCCGACAAGCGCATCTGCACCTCCCTGCTGAAGACGAAGACCTGCAGCCTGGAGCGCGCCCTGCGCCGCACACGCCGCTTCCAGAAATGGCTGCGGGCCAAGCGCCTCACCCCGGACCTCGTCCAGGTCCGTGCCCTCAGCCCACACTGGCGGGGAGGAGGGAGGGGGAGAGGAAACCCCAGCGGGGAGCAACGTGAATCTGTGGTGGAGAAAAGAATCTGAAGGAGACACAGCTGTGACTTGCTGGGTGGAGGGTGAATTTGGGTGACGGCCAGCACTCCTGCTCCACCTGCCCCAGCTGGTGGAGAGGGGTCAGCCCCATGTCCCCCAGCTGAGCCTCCCTACAACAGGGGAGAAGAAAACGAGGCTCTGGTGGGAAGGGAAACGTGGAGGCCTGGGGCCAAAGCCCATCCCAGCCGTACGTAACGCCACGCCACGGCACAGCCTGGCCAGGGCCGGGGCTCGGCTCCATCAGGGCAGGCACCAGCTCCCAGCCTCTTGTGTAGGCTGAGGCCCACTGGCTTCACGCGTGGTGATGACATAGGGTCATAGGGTCATGCACACAAACATGGCAACAGCTCAAGCGGGGATATTTCTGTTATTTCTGCCAGCATTTTTACAGGTTTCTGTCACGTCTCAGTGCTTTTGCACCCTTTTTTTTTTGTCTGTTTTTCTTTTTTTTTTTTCTCATGGAGCCATACAAAGCAGGTCATGCTTTGAAAGTGATTTTGTGCTGGGCTGAGGACCAAGGCACGTTGGACCCCTCTGCTTGTGGCCGGCAGGGTGAGCTGCACGGGCAGTCAGAGCCAAAGCCTCTATTCCTCATCTGCCTGCCATCTACAGCAAATGATCTCAGGCACAAAGCAGCATGCTGCCCTTTCCATCACAGTCCTGGGGTGTCACAGGTGAAGCCAGGACAGGAGGGCCAGCAGGCTTGCACCACCACCTCCAGGTAGACGGGTGGCCGTGGCACAGGGAGATCAACACACAGGCAGGGTCAGAGGGGCAGAGCAGGCAGGCTCCAGAGAAAAGTCAACATCTGAGTGGTGCCTGAGCTGAGGGATGCCACGGGCAGCCAGGGGTGACCACAGGGCAGGAAAGTCTGTTTTGCAGCTGCTGGCTTGCACCTGAGAGCCATAGTCCCCTCCCCAAAAGTACATGTATCTCTCCCACCCCACCTAAACAACTGCAAACCATTACAACAACCACTGGGAAGGGGCAGGAGCCAGGCTGGAGGCTGGATATACTCTACACAAGACCCTCAGAGGTGAAGGAGTATTCTTCTCCCCCTTTCCAGAGAGAAGTGGTTGTGAAAAAGGGCCTTAATTTATTTTTTTTTTAATAGAAAGGCAGCTGCTTCCTTCTGTCTGCCTGCTGCCCCATCCTCCCAGCTTTTCTGAGTGCTAAAGTAACATTGGTTTAGTGTTTCCATTTCTGTTACCCTGTGGAGAAGCACATCTGAGGAGGCAAAGTGGGAGACCAAGTGATGCAGCAGCGGTAGCAGCAGCAGCTGTCTGAGCTGTACCAAGAAGGACTCACCTAAATCACTGTCTGTCCCTCACTGCAGGTCACACTAATGACACGTGGACAGGGAAACATTTTTTTTTTTAGCAAAACTACACTCTACTTTTTCTAGTAACCTCAGGAGAGGCACTAGGGAGAGGGTGCAGGTTTGCATCACTTCCACTCAGAGCATCCCTCACCTGAGCTTGTGGGCCACGGGCAGGACAACTCCTCCCTGGAGCCGCAGGCAGCAGCTTCCCAGGCACCTGCTGGCCACCACTGTTCTCCAAGACAGCGGTGCTGGGGGCTGTGGGAGGGCATGACGGGGTGCCAAGCCCTCCAGCCTTGCTGGAGTGTCCAAAGGAGTTGTGCAAAACTGTGCTGTCCCCCACAGCAGTGCTATGAGAAAGGGAAGGACTTGAGAGCTTAAAACTTCCATTTGCTGAGCTGAGTGAAAAAGTAACTGGAGAAATGTGGCTCTGTGGTATCTCAGATCTGCTGCAAAGTTAAATCACTAGCTGAGCCCAAATCCTTCTCCTTAAAAGGCACTTCATGTGCTATAGCATTTTCCATACCCCATCCTCTCTGAAACTGAGCTCCTGGCTGTGCTGGATGGGTTGCACACACATGCACACACAGCACCATGTGAAGACTTTGGCAGGGGTGCCCTGGCCTTGCACCTATCCAGTTTCTCTGGGGCTCTTGAATTTCCCTATGTAGCAGTGGGAAGCTGAGCTGACCCCGGCTCCAGGTTGCCTCTGAAGTGAGCCAGCCAGGGAGACATGTCCAGGGACAAACTCCCTGGGACATTTCAGCAACCTCCACAGTTTTTTTAGTTGGAGAGAGCACAGGAGGCTTCAGGGAGGCCCAGACATTTGCATGCCAGCCTCAGTATTGCCCCACTTGGGTTTTCATGATTCTTTGATTCTTTAAATCAAGCAGAGAAATCTAAAGTGGGACATAAATCCCTTCTAACAGCATATAGACTTGAATACACAGAGGAGCATAGTGACCCAGAGACCCTGGTTCCTACTCCCCACTTCCAAATTTGGGCAGCAGTCACTATTTAAGATTGGGCATGTGCTCTGCAAAATGGCTGCTGGTCTCACAGTGCTCTGAATTGAAAAACATTCTGTGGCAGCAACATTTCAGTCATACGGTGTGTCTGAGTCCCTATGTGAGAGCCCCCAGCCCTGCTGTGTGGACCACCACAGGTTATCGGGTGACCCCCACCCAAGATGTCCAGCCCCGCAGAGCCAGGTTTCCCCTTCCTGTCTGCCCACCCTGCCTGCTCCCCTCAGAGCTGAAAGACACAGAAGCACTCCTGCCCGCACCCCGGTTCTGTGCTGCTGCTCTAAAGGGAGCACTCACTACTCGCTGGAGGGAGTTTCTTGGGGATACCATCCATCACCACAAATACCTACCTGCAGCACTGCTCTTCTGGCTTTTTTTCCCCCCTCTCTCTTTTTGGAGGTGTTAACAGCACACCGCTCTTGACATCTAACACGCTGCCCATCTTGTTTCACAAGGGTGCAGTCACCTAGTGGTGTCTGTACTCCCCTCTCTGGGGAAGGCTAACAGGCTCTGGCAATTTTGTCTTATAGAGCGGAGAATTACAACAAACCATAACATACTTGAATCAAAATGACAGACCATGAGGTAAAGTTTTTTCGCTTTACGCTGCCTGCCCTCTCTGACCCAACCATCAGCTGAGCTGCCTGCCACAGTGATGATTTCACCCATCACAATGAAGTTCTTTACTGAATGTGGCAAAGTCTTCAGTGTTAAAATCCAGCCTGCCTCAGAGATGAGCAGGATTTAGTTGGAGCTTAACTGGTACAGTAGCCACTGCTTCTCCCAGGAGCTCATCAGCTCAAACCACGCTGTGTGCATTTCCTGTTGGAGAGGAAGAACAACCAGCCCTGCCTACAACACAAGCCTGGAAAATGCTGAAGACTGTCAGAGGAAAGCAGTACCCAGTGAAAAAACAGCCTTTTTCAGCCCCTCTCTCTAGGACACTCTGTTTGAAACTACTGACCAGCACCTCCACCTGCCCTCAGCAAATGTGCCAGCATTGTGGTTTTTTTGCCTCTGAGTCCAGTACACATGGCTTCGCTGGCAGCACATGGGCAGCAGCCCACTGATATGGCAGCGGGTCCATCTTAGAGGTCCATTAGAAGGTTCCCAGAGCCACTTTGACCTGGTCCCTCAGCATTGGAGACATGCTTCCGTAAACCTGCTGACGGCAGAGATGAGTCCTGTAGCTTCTTCATGGGACATCCTTAGTTTCTTTCTTTTGGCGGTGAGTGAAATCCTTGGATTCAAATGGCCAGGAGCTGCAGGTGCTTTAACACCAACATCCATGTGTTTCCTCAGGAAGCCCACCACACAGGCAACAGTGCACGGGGCAAGAGGTGGCTCTGCTCCTTATCTGTGCCATCCCTCCTTGGGCTGGCTGAAGAGAAAGCAGAGTGAGGAGAAGTTGACTTCCAGAGGTCATCTTTATGCCAGAGTGAATTCTCTGTGTGTCTGCACTAGGCACACATACATGTGTTTAAAATGCCTCGCATACTGTGCAGTAGGGAAAAAAAAAATCACACCTGAGTGTAGGTAGGCTTTGTAGGAACTAGTTATTATCAGATATAAAAATGTGAGTATTTAAACAAAGTAAATAAGAAGCTTTCCATATCAGTCACGAACAATATGTCAGGCTGCCTGTCAGGTCCCATTCTCTGGGGTGATAAGGCACTGCAAGGACTTAAGATATTCTCAGATAAATCAGTATCTCCAGTGTTTCAAGTATATATTCTTCAAATTTTAGTTCCATTGACAGTTTTTTTCCTAACAGTTTTACAACTCCATCTCCTTTTCTGCTGTAGTGAGGTTTCCATCAGTCTGCTGGATGGGGAGGCCCCACTCCACTGAAAAGTTCGAGCAGGCACTCAACTTTACACTGTTGACTAGCTCTGCTAAAGTCAAAAGACTCCACTGTCCAATCTTGGTGCATCAGTACTTCATTAAATAGTAGGAAGCTGCATGAGTGATTGATGTAAACATGGAATCACCCAGCCCTGCTCCTCTGCTCCCTCACCACCACTGATATGTCTGAAACCATTCCTCAAGTAACAAGCAACTGTGATCACCACATGCAGTGCATGATCACATCTGTGTTAAGAGTTTGAGCTCTGACCTTGGAAAAAATCCCAATTGCAGCTTCCATGTATTTTCTGCCACTATGATTTCTGTTCCTACTATGTACTCTTAAGGGTCTCAGCTTTTTGCATTGCAAACTCTTGGAGATAGCAAGGCTTTCTAACTTTGGCTGCAAATATTTGCATACTCACTGAGCTGCAAGAGACTTTCTCCACCGTTTATCTCTTACTTAATACAGTTCTGTTCTGCTTATTTTTTCTCACTTCTCCTTCAAAGAAAAAGTGACAGAATCAGTCATAATGTGCCTGCAAGTGCTGCGAGACAGAAATCCATAACCATCCCTTTCGTCCCCCACTCATTCTCCTGTTTTTGATAATTAGGTGAGAAAACATTTTCTCAATAAGGCTATACTAGAGGAAAGGAGTGTATGAAAGCTTGTAACTGGAACTGGGAAGAATTATTTTTGAGAAATGTTTTATACTCTTGGGGAAAAAAATGGTTCTTCACTTGTTGTGAAACAATGGTCCAGTTGGGCTGAGTTTCTAAATAGTTTCAACCAGATATTGGCTTTCAGGGCTTGTTTTGTGCAACTGATGGCCAAGGAGGGAGCGGTTGGGACCCCACTGAGGCTGGCAGGGAGGCACAAGAGGGGATGTGAGAGGTCCAGTCCCTCCTTTCTGCCTCCAATTGGAAGAGAAGCACGCTCTTACTTTACTTGTACATTTTCCTTGTTTCTTCATCTCTTTGTCATGGCGTAATCAAGTGTTTTATGCCCAATGAACAGCTCGCACAGGAAGGGAAGAGAGAGACCTACCTTAGAGTTAGCAAATGACTTGGGGAGATCCTGAGTCAAATCTTTGCTCTCAGCATGAAGAGTGGCAGGGAGCAATGTGGGCTCCAATGCCCTCTCCTCTGAAGCCCATCTCCCAGCCATCGAATTATAAAGAAAAGATGAAAGAGTAAATTTTGCTGCTGGGATCATTTTGCAAGAAAAAGACTTAGCAAAAACCTGATTCCCTTCCCCAGACAAGCCATTGCAGGGCAATATTTCGTGCCACAATGATCAATTCTTCGTACGTCCACTCTCCTTGGCTATTAAGGAAGACTGACTTAAAAAAAACCAAAACCTTTTTGGACTAGGAAAGCATAAATTCCTATGCCATTTATCCCAGCCATAGATTGCTTGTTCAACTTTACAAGCCAAAGCTCCAAATCTGAAAGGTGAAATACAGTGATGGTTGACTCCACTAGTCCAACAGTTCTTTATTTGTTGCTGGTATTTACAGAAAAATATGCATAGGCCATTCAAATTTGTCTTTGATAGTTAACACACAGGTTTATCAGAAAGCGAATATATCCTGTGCTTGTACCCACATAGAGTGTTTATTTACACTTCTAAAGCATGTTTACCCATCTTAGCAAATAGTAGTTCCACCAAAGCTGCTCACAGGTTAAGCAAATAGCAAAGTGATCTGAAGACATTATTTAATGAGGGAAGTGACTCACCAGATTAACAACAAGGAGGTCTCCACCAGCGAGCCAGGATGCCAGGGCTGGAAACCTGGGTGGAGGGAGAAGGCCCACTGGTGTGGAGCAACATGGCACCATGCAGTCATGTGGAAACACAGTTTGCACCCTCTGTGGCTGTGCCACAAAGACTGGGTGCCTTTTTCAGAAACCTGAGTTTTTGGAAACCAACAGCAACATTTTTGGATGGTGGGTGTGGGGTTTTTTTTCCAAAGAAGGATTTGCTTTAGAGGTCTTCTTATGTGCCCATACCCTCCAGCGGCAGTGCTGCAGTGGGCAGAGGTGCAGTAGGCAGAGCAGAGAGATGCCCATACCCCAGGCATGGCCCAAGCACACTGAGACATCTCCAGCTGGAAAATAAACCCCTGTGTTGTGCTTTCCCCCCTCGGCAGGGCCTTTCCAGCCCGATGCTGCGCTGCCCATCCCAGCGTCTCCTGGACAGGATCGTGCGGCGCTACGCTGAGGTGCCAGATGCTGGCAGCATCTACATGGACCACCTCACTGACCGGGACAAACTACGCCTGTTGTACACCCTGTCGGTGAATTCACACCCCATCTTGTTACAGGTACACATCACCTGGCCTGAGCTTGAAATGCCACCCCCCAGCCCCTTGCATGCAGACCTTCACATGGGATGTACACCAACACCCAGCTGCAGAGGGTTCCCAGCCTCCGCCTTAGCCCTCATGAAAGGTGTTTCTTCTGTGGGGTTGGATGGCTGAAGTCGGGCAGATTCCTGCGGTATTGCTTGCATCAGCCTGTGAAGTTGTGGAGAGATAGGGATGCCCAGCCCCTTAAATAAATCAGAACTCAGATGGGTTATTGCCCTAGCATGCTGTGAATACCAGGGCTTTGCACATCCCTATTACTTTACAGTGTTACGTTTGCATTGCTAATGTATCACGTAAAATCACAGCCTGTGGATAAAAGAGAAGCAGCATGCCTTAGTGTGGGGGGACCGAGACGCAGCGCTGAGGCTGAACCTGGACCTGGGGAGAACCGATTTCCCAGGCTCCGTGTGCCAACGCTGTTTTTTCCATTTGCACGTGCAGCTGGTAACTAGCTCTGTGGCAAAGGGCAGCCTTCCAGAGGTGTTTGGTGGAATCCCAAATACAGCTAAGGTCTGAGTTTGAAGGCAGAGAGATGGGAAGCTTCGTACTCACCTCTCAGCCCCTACCAGCATGCCTGGCTTGAGGCTCCTCTCTTCCCTTATGTGTGCCTCCAAGGGAGTATCCTCACTTTTCCACACTACCACCTCACCTTTAGTCCTCACTGATGTTTCTTGCAACCCTTTGGGATTCCATGAGGAAGAGAGACAGCAGCCGCATCTACCTCCTGCACCAGGCCACTGCTGCCCTCAGCAGCCCACAGGGCTCTGCCCAGTCCTGGGGAGGGAGAATGTTGCTTGTGGTCTGGGATTCTCCTGGGGGTCATTCAGCTGTCCTAGTCACAGCTCACTCAGGCATGAGGCACTGTTAAGATAGGGGAATGAAGTTTGCAGAGAAATAATGTGCCAAGGAGAAAAATATGCCAAAAGTAAATGGATTGATTTTACATGGATGTCCCAAGTGTCTTTACAGCAGAAGGGAGAAGAAACCTTAAACATGAAAACGGAGGATTTTATAGCCCCCCTCCTTGGTAGGGGTGCTGGGGAAACACACGTTATAATGTGAATGGCAGCAGATTTTGTGCTGGCACAGGTCAGTAGCCATGTGTTTTGGCTTGCACCTGGGATAACTGAACTGTTTGCAGGAGCTGCAGCAAGGCAGGGAGCTCAGCCCAGGTGTCCTGCTGTAACAAACACCAAGCACTTTTGTTCCTGAGACTGCAAAGTTGCTTAAAGAACTGACAGGCAGTTCTTACAAATGAGTGAAAACTGCTTTAGTTCCACCTCACCTTCAAGCCGTGACTTCAGCTATGTGATGCTCATGAGGGACCCATCAAAGGCTCCAGGAAGACACCTAAAATTAGCTCTTCTGTGGATAAAATTTTCATGACTTTAAAATTATCATCTTGGACTTTACAGTTAGTCTCCCTCATGGAATAGGTCGTGAAATAGCAGATTCTTCTCCCTTAATTAAAAAAAGAGAAAAAAAGGGGAAAAAAAAGAAAAAAGGCAGCATAGCTTCTCCGGCATGGAGCAGAGCCTTTTCTGGCTTCTGGGGCAGACTGGGATAAGGAAGGGTGACGGGCTGCTTTAGAGAGCAAAACACGACACCGGCATTGCCAGCCAGGGTACTTGAAAGTCCTCGGGGAGGGAGGTGGGTCCAAAACCCGAGTGCAGGGTCAGGGTCAGGGGGCGGGGACAATCCCCCCCCCCCTTCCCACTCTTCCTGGCAGATCTTCCCCAGCGTGGAGGGATGGCCCTTCCCGCGGTACCTGGGCTCCTGCGGGCGGCTGGTGGTCAGCGCCAGCACCCGGCCCCTGCGCGACTTCTACGGCGCGGCTCCCGACGTGGCAGCTGACCTGGCCCTCCAGCTCCTCGCCGTCCTGCGCTCCATGGGCACCAACGACCTCAACTACTTCTTCTACTTCACCCATGTGGACGCTGGCACTTTCGGCGTGTTTAGCAACGGGCATCTGTTCATCCGGGATGCCAGCACGCTGGGGATCATCGACAAGGAGGAAGGTACTCAGCAGGCTGCACGTCTGTCGCAGGAGGGCTCAGTGAGGCAGGGGGAACAAATCTTCCACCCTCTACCCTGGGCTCTGATGGTGATTTTTTTTATTATTTATTTTTGGTAATCAGCCCAACGTCACTTGCTACATTAAATAATGACAAGTTCACAGAGAAGTTTACCAACAGTAAAAGCATCAACACCTCCTGCTATCTTGGCTCAGAGTCAAGAAGGCAACAGGCTTCTCTTTGTGCCTCAGTGGTTTGGTGACCAACTGTGGGTACTTACATCCTGCCTGGCCTCCTCTGTGGCTGGCAGCGGCATTCAGCGTGTACAGTGCTGAGTGGTCACATTTAAAGACTTCCTAAATCACCTGTTCTAAAAATTTTGCCACACAGATGTCAATATTTGCAAGTAGAAATGCCATAACTTCATTTAAGTATTGGGTGAAATCAGACTCTTTTTAGGTGTGGTTATCACACTAACAAATAATCACTATTATTAGAATTATTATACCCCTAAAACCCCTCTTTTGTCATTTTTACATAAAATCAAGGGTTACTATTCTCTTTTCACAGGTTACATTGGTCTGCTCCCAGAAGGAGAGCTCGTCAAAGACTATTCCTCCAATAATTTTACAATTTCATTTTGAATGTTCAAAGTGCTGTTGGAGAATTTTCCTCTGGGTTTCTTTTTCTTGTCCCAACAGCTGTTACTGTTAATTTGACCCCAGATAGAGGAACTGTTGTTGCAATTTAATGAGTTTGAGTAACACGGAAAAATTATAGGTTTGGCCATTGTGGTAGTCTTTATAGGAACTCCACCTTTTTGGTTAGTCCTCCAGTTCTTCTCATTTCTTCAGTTTAACTTGACAGACTCCTGTCCCATTCCCCTGTCAGGCAGTTCTGCAGAGCTCTGTCATTCAGGAAAATGTATTTATTTCAGCAGAGAGAAAACTGGCCCCTAGACAGCTACAACACAAAGCAGTTTGTGGTGAAAGACTGATGTGTCCTTTGGACAGTGCCAAACCCCACGTTAACGCAGAGGTTCAGACATACGTGGTTATTGAAGACTTCACTGCTGTGTTTCTAAAACCTGCTTTAATTGTCTCTAATAGGGAGCCAGCTGATTGACGGCCAGCAGGAGTATAAAGACATATTTAGCTGTTTGACTGTGGACTGCTCATCCACCTTTGTGTCCTGTAACTCCATCAGAGAGGAGCACAGCCTCGTCATGGTGTGTCAAGAGCTTTTGCCTAAGCTGCTGAAAGGGAAATTTCGGCAACCCGTGCAGGAGAAAATAGACACCTTCCTGCAGCACTGCGCCGATGGCCTCGACGATGACCAGGGTGTCAACGAGACGGCCGCAAAGCTGGCAGAGCTCCTGAAACCTCTGCGGTCCTGCGACTCCCGTTTCGCCTACCGCTACCCTGACTGCAAGTACAGTGACAAATACTGATGGCTTTGGAGGAGAAGGCCCCTGGGGAGCACTGAGGCGGTGACAGTGCAGGACGCAAGAAGGATCCGGGGTAGCTACCAAAGGCTGCACCAAATCTGGGGCTTCCTCGTGAAGGAAGAGGAGGGAGCAGAGTGCACCTGGGATTTACTGTTTATCTCCCAGAGATGTATTTGTTACACGGGATGTTAGGTGTGATGTAAGGCTTGTGGATTATGAGCATTATCATGAGTGACAGGTAGGATTAATAAATCTCATTCACCTGTTTTGGCCTTGGAAGAGTTTTCCATGCCATTTGTTAAAAAGAAAGCCTCTGAAGACAGCATTCTCCAACCTATCTAGATAGAGAACCTTTACTGATAAGGAAGTCTTTCTGATTGAGATGATATATACATAATGTGAGATGAATGGAAGCATTTAAGGCTTTCCCTGCGGGGATTTTTGTGGTGCTCAAAATCATAGATAAGTTGAACCACTGGATCAGTACTGTGCCGCCACCTACTACAGATCACTTTTATAAAATATTTAAATGTTAATACTTTGATGGCACACAGAACAGGAAGACACAATCAACAGCATTAAACAGGTGAAAGGTCCCATGTCTCTTGAGACTTAATTTCTCTAAACCACAAATAAAATTTAATCTTTTTCCAAGCTGATGGGCAGTAACTGGAGCGTAATGAAGGTTTTTGTTTTAAGATCAGGAAAAAGCTAACTCTGGGATATGATTGTCTAGCAGATACCTTCACATTTTTCTCTCCAAGGAAAACTGAAGGAACCTTTGCACAAAAACCATTCAAATGGGAAAATTATCTTAAAAGGAGAAACACCAGAGACAGAGGATGAGAGAATAGGTTACCATGAGCCTGATGAGACTTGCTGAACACTCAATACTCCAGTGTAGGTGCTGGGGCATCCCCCAAGAGCTGGGGAAGTCTTAAGTCCTGACAAGCAAGAGGTACAGCCATCCTCATCCATTTGCCTTTCAAAGGAGGAACCAAAAAGCCAGTCCCCAAAGGAATGACTCAGTGGCTGACCCAGGGCTAGACACAGGTGCCTCATTTTCTGGAGGAGGGTTGCAAAAGTTCCAGAGTTGCAAAACACAACTTTCTCAGCCAGTATCTGTCATTCCCCATCCCATGTTCTCTCTGTGGGGCATCAGGGGCCCACACCAAACCTTCCCTGATGTCTAGGGGACTGACAGACTTTGCCTGGGTTTGGGGTTTTCTCTTGGGATCCAGGGGCATGGGAGTCATCAAGCAAATTTGACTGAGCTGAGTCAGAAACTGGACTTTCTCGATCCCCCATAAGTATTTTCGTCATGGAAGCAGTTATCCGCTAACCATGCTTTGAGAAAGAAAGCACTAACAGCATAAAAGCCAAAAAAGATGGAGTGTGTTTGCATTGCTAATCGTTGTATGAGTTACCAGGAGCAGGAATACAAGTCAACATTTTGTGTTGGCTGCAGAGGGGCTCTGTGTGTGCAAAGCACCCGGCCTGAGGTTCAAGGCAGTTGTTGCAGACAGACCAGGCATCCAAAACTATACACATGTCTGACAACTAGGAAATTTAACCCAGGATATTTATTTTGCCTTTCCTTCTGGTGTAAAGTGTCAAGTACACCTTTCACCCCTCAAGAAGTAGAAACATCAAAAATAATTTGTCGGTAAATTTAGCTCTAGGCCCAGATGGTCTGACAGCACAAATGTTTAAATATACACCCTAAGCTATGGCTTCAGCCCTCTTTCTCTATTTCAGTCTATTTCTACACTGTGGCTCTCCTCCAGTAAGAAAAACGTGTCCTTCACTGAGATCCATAAGGCCGTCTAACAATCTGTTTTCAACAGTTTTTCTTGAATCTGTCTACACTTCCAATCTCTTGGGCTGTGATTTTACCTGGTAGCTGGGCATTAGTCCCAGGCCCATTCTCTGCTTTCCCCACCTCGATGCTGGATGCCCACCACATCTCAAGGGGCTGGAGGAGCTCCTGCTTTGCCCCTGCTCTCTACCGGGGTCAGTGGTGAGGTGCTGCCCACCCTGGGCTGCAAGGCGCCAGCACCCCCTCAGTGCCAGAGGGCAATGTTCTTCATGCAGTCACAACTAAAAAGGCACACCACAAAATGCCCAAAAAGCACTATAATGAAGAACTGGCCCGGTCCACCCACGCTTCAGCAGAGGTGATTTGCAAGCCATGGGTTTGCAGAGATGTCTTTGCAGCTGCTCTGTGACTCAGGCTGGCCTCTGATTCAGTGCTCTCTAATTTAGCAATGGCTTGACTTGCACTGGAAGGAGGAGCAGCCCTTGCAACAGGGCTCCACACCAAGTTCACCACCCTACTGTCTAACCTGGGCATTTTTCTTTTCACCACACACATTTTCCTTTTGGAAATGAGTACCTACTGCTCATTTACTTCATCTACTGTATGGCTCCGTGCAAAACGTCTCCAGGGCAGTAGAACACCCCTCTGCTATCAAACCAGCCCAGGGAAATGTGGAGGGGATGAATGTTCTCAGCACCTTAGAGAACGGCAGAAGCAAGCCCAGAGCTCTCACGTCCAGCACTGGGCAAAAGGACTGAGGTGTCACACTGGCTTCAGATGGGGCCCAATAGCCTGTCATCCTAAAATGCTGAGTGTAAGAAAGAGAAGAGCTGTGATCTTACTTTGCTGCTTGGACTCAGTCGGCAAGACTGCAGCAGAAGTCTTGAGGTGTATGGCATCTATTTTTACATGGCTTGACTGGAATTAGTTAAAGCTGAGAGGAGTCTCCCACTGCTTTCAATGGATTTTGATATTACTGCAAATTTTTTTTAAAAACACCAAAATTATATAAAAAAAAATAAAATCATGGATTTAAAAGTGATTAAAGCATTGGGAGCTGTGTTAACCAGCAGTTTCTCTTCAGACATTGATTACAAAGGCCAGGCTCATGTAAGTCTGTGACTAATATGCCAGCCATAAAATCAGTTCATGGCTCACAGAACAACAATTTTCCTAAACTAAGTCTCATTTCTGTATATTTCCTTGGCCTTTTTTTTTCATTGCCAATTTTTTTCTCTTAATATTTTCCTTTTTCTTGGCAGTCAGGCCTGGAATCAGTGCCTACCCTTTCTACCAGCTCCAGTCAAGCCTTGAAATGCTAGTAGGCCAAGCTCCAAAAGGATGTGAAATTCATTTATAAATGGCAATTATTTTAAACCTAATCCTTCCCAAAAGAAATCTCAAGCAATTTTTACCTCTCTGCGTTCGAGTTATTTCTGACGGTGGCTTTGTGCGAGCTTTTGCAAACTGTTCCTGGTAATAACTTAAAACATTTCCACAGCAGGACAAGGATGGCAGGAGAAGTCTTCCACCAGTCTTGCAGTTGGCCTCAGCACTTCCTTTGTTTGTGGGTAGTTTGTAGCTGCCTTTATGTCCAGCTGTTGATTGGATGTCTCTCTTACTGCCCCATACCTCACATATTTTTTTAAGTTTTCACGTCAAGAGGTTTGAAAAACTGTATTTTCTGAAATATTTTGTCTAGCAGTGTATTTTAACACTGATTTCTCAGGGGATGGGGGCTGCATATGGGCAGCCCACAGCAAGTGACAATCCCAACTTCCCCCAGCATTATTTGCCACTCCTCTGTGTCTCATCTTCAGTTAGCACCTTTGCACGTGTCTGTGGCACTCACACTGATGTCCCCTGCCCCACACAACCCCTTGGGAAGGAGCAGCAGCCAACGGTGACATTAAATTCTACTTATTTATTTTTAAAATTTATTTTTCATGCCCTCCTCCCACCAAAGAGAGAGCACCCTGGCACTGCTGGCTGAAGCAGGTCCTCATCACAGGAAGTGGAAAATTGGTAAAAACGGGTTCTTTTCTGTGAGCAATACAGCTAATATGTGTTTGCTCTGTACCCTCATCTTCATTCAACCGCCTTCTTCCTCAGATGTGGTTGAAGCACAGGGACAATGGCACCAAGACAGAGCCTCGGGAGTAGCCTTGTGCTCCCAGGTGCCACAGGTACATCTGTGCCCGTTGAGTCTGGGCTATTCTGACACCTCCTGGCACCTCCTGACCAGCACCCTTGGCTGGGACATTGCATGTCCAAAGGGGAAGGTGCATGCTGTGCATTGCTGGGAAAACCCCATGCAAGTATTTGAAGTCAAAGTGTCTGGTAACACACAAAGCAGCCCAAAACATTCCAGCAGAGTTGGAATTCCATTATGTCCAGTCCTGGGAGCTTGGAGGTCCAAGTTTCCTACCGCAATAGCTTTAATAAATGATCATTTCTTGTCTCTCCTTCCACCAACCCCAATTCCCATCAGCTTCCCACAGTGAGATACCCAGAAAACATTGTGGCATTTTGCAGAACTTAGGATTAGCACTCAACAGATCCCATCCACAAGAGTAGCCAGACAAACACATTTCATACAAGCATCTTTCCTCAGCCAACGAGAGTTGTTTGCAGGTGCTTTTTATTTGCCTGCTGGTTTTCTGAGGCTTTAGGATGCACTTGGGTCCCATTGGGCAATTACTGTCTACAGCCAGGTGCTCTAGATACTTTACTACTAATTCTTCCTAAGTGAAACCACAGCTTCTCCCATTACCACATGAATCTGGAAAGCAGAGCTTTAATAAAAAAATTTGAATGTCATTAGATGTTATGAAATCACAAGAGTTTTCTGAACTGGTTCACCAAGACACATTAATTTGATAAATAGGTAAGTCTAGCTGCTATTGTATCCTCTGTTTCTCCAGTTCAGTGCTGAAAGGAGCTTGGTAGCCATCCTGGAATTAAAAACAAACTAACATGGATTTCGGCAAAAGGAAAATTAAATAAAAACTGCCACTCATGGCAAGGCCACTGGGAGGTTAGGGGAGACATGCACAGTTTCTTCTCTATGGATTAGAAAAATTGGCCAGGCTCATCTGCTGAGTCATCACATGGGGATGGCTTCAGCTGGAGGGTGTTGGTGGGCTTTTAGCGCTGCTCTTCAAAGAAGACTTGCACAACTGAC